GACTCAGAGGGGATATGTTGGCGACATACAGGTATGTGAGGGGATGTCACATGGAGATGGGTAGAGACCTGTTCTCCCCTGCAGAGGAAGGCAGGACGCGCTCCAACAGAGCAAAGCTCAGGGAACCAAGGTTCAATTTGGAGGCCAGGAAGTACTTCCTGACAGTTAGGATCCCGAGGGTGTGGAATGGGCTTCCACGAGAAGTCATTGAGGCCCCATCGGTGCGGGTGTTCAAAGGTAGGCTGGACGTACACATGGTGGGCATGTCGTGAGCAGAGCCGGCTGGTCAGACTAGATGGCCCAGGAGACCCCTTCTGAATCACTCTGTTTCTGTGTTTCTACCAGTTGCCTGAGATAGGCATTTACAATAAGCAGACAGTTAGCGTCACTGCTTTCTAGCAGTCATTCACCTGCTTTGCTTCTGAACTCGAAGCCAAATTCTCACACAAGATTGGATTCTGTTTTGTTTCTTACTTTTGCATTCCAGCCACCTATGATTATCAGAATATCTTGGGTTGGTGTGTTACCAATTTTCTTTTGGATGCTTGCATAAAAATATTCAATTTCTTCTTCAGAATCTGTTGTTGGAGTGTAGTCTTGAATTATGGTTATGTTGACAGGTTTTCCAAAAACTGTAAATGGTATGTTTTAGTTGGACTTTGCATGATACCTCCTACTGCCTGTGCTACATCTTGCCTCAGTATTAGAGCCACCTGGTTTCTTCTGAGTTTGTCATTTCCAGTGTAAAACACTTTATTTGTCTGACTGAAAATATCCCATTCCAGTCCACTTCAGTTCATTTACACCAAGTACCATGATGAATAACCATTCCATTTCATGCTTTACAGTTTCAAGTTTAGTCATACTCTTCATGTTGCATGTTTCCATTGTGTGTGTTGTAAAGCATCAGACGTTCCTTTTGTTTCTGTTCATGTCATGTTCTTTCTGGCTTTGTGCTAGCTGCTTCGTTAGCAACAGTGCAATTCATACTTGTGCATTGCTCTTCTCCAGCCTTCTGATCTGGCAGTTTCAACTTCTGCCACCATCTCTTGTTTCACTCTGGATTGTTTCATCATAGGGTCCTCAAGGTAAGAATATTCAAAAGTGGTTTACCATTGCCACCTTCTGCACGGTACTGACTAGAGTTAGTTTGAACATTACTGCAATTGTCTGTGAAAGATCCTCCACCAGTGTCTCCTTCAACTATCACTGCTGCCCAGTAGTTGCCCTTTAGAAGTTTCTCCACCCCCATCACTGTTAATCAGTTTTCTTCTGCTGCTGTAACTGGTCCTTCTGAAGAAGGTGGATGCATCTTAGACTGGTCTCTCTGCTTCGACCATTCTGCCTTGGGAGAGCCTGTGAGGGGATGAGCCCAGTGAGAGAGTCTGGTCTCCTGGCAGCATTGCTCCTAACCTCTCTGATACTCTCAGGTCCCCTCACCATATTAAGGTGTGCATCTCAGAGTGATCTCAGTGGGTATGGTAAGCAATAGTTCTTCTTCCTCCTTCTGCATTCATTAACTATTTTAAAACCTGTTATCCTTTTGTCTGAGGCATTGATTATAACCTGGTTTCCCCTCCCTTTTGATATTATGATTGTTTTCTGGCATTTTTTGCATCTTTGTGGATCCCCATTGACTCCTCCTCCATTAAGCAAAATCCCCTGTAAACTTTGGTGTCTTGAATGAACTGTGCTTAGTTGAGAAATATATATATTGTCTGGGCCCTTACAAAACTACGTGTTTGTCTGTTGCAATTCCATTTAAGCATAGAGAAAACAAACTGGAAACGTACTTTTTGTGACTTAGAATTATTTTTTTTTTATGACCAGAACACACATTTACATCATTGGTATTTTGTGATGCGATTTAATTCATGCAGACTCTTGTGCAAAAGTGCAGTGGCTTAGTTCTAAAAAGAACTGAAGTCTCTTCAGAAGTCTGTTCTGATCAGGGCTAGCCCTAAGAAAAATATGGTTATCCTTCTTACCAGCAACAGCTTGGAGTCATCTTTTAAAATAATTTATAAAGTTTATAATCTTTATGGTACTTGTAATGATGGTAATTGTTGGTAATAAGTCATGTTCTGCTTGTTTTACCTAGAATGCATTATATCAAACTAGAAATGGAAAAAAGACATATTTTAAAGCTAATCAAATTCATTTCTGTAGTTAGCCACCAGAATCTAGAATTTTAAGGGCTTGTGCAGCAGAAGGGGTAATTAGTGTAATCAAATAGGTTCAGATAGCAAAATAACTGACCCCCAGGGGTGTGAGTAGCCATTGGACTATGGGTTCTGATTGTTGAAATGTGGATTGTCATGTTACCTAAACCCAGAGGAGATAGCAAGCCATGGTGACAATCCACAGTTCACATCAAACAACAAAACATGGGTTCTTTTCATGGACTGTTGGTGGTTAACAAGCCATGGCTTCTTAGTACAGCTGGATTCAGACAACATGGTGGCCACTGGATGGGTTCACATGACACAACAAGCTATGGTGGTTTCTTATGCAGGGTGATCTGTTGTGTAGTTTGAATCTTGCAGCATTTCAGCATGACACATTTAGTTTCTAGAAACCACAATAAGAAACAATGGTTTGTTCTATGGTTTACTCAGTTTACCATGGTTTCTCTGCTTGTCTGAACTTGGCACTGTAGCTTCCACAGTGATACCATAGAGTCCCCTGGAAATAACAAGAGCTGCAGGAGCTGCTCCAGTCATCCAGCATGGAATTGAATTTCAGGTGATGTAGATGATATGCCAGCAGTGGGAAGGCTGAGCACAGAGGGTGGAAATCACACTAGCTTAGAAACCACTTAATCATCTAGCAGGCACATCCAGGCAAAAACCATGCAGCATGGAAACCATGCTTCTCTTTTCTTGATGTGTGAAGCCATCCAAAGTTTGAACACCAACCCAAGGCTCAATGATAACCCATGCTCAACCCTTCAGTGTGGGTTATCATGTTCATGTTGTCTGAAACCACGTCACTTATTGTTTTCTTTCCTCCTATAGCTCATCACAAACAGTGCATTGGTTCCACATACACTGAGTCACCAAACTTACTTTGGTGCCCCATTCAGCTTGGAGCCCAGGGCCAGCTTTAGCTCACCTGTCCATGAGCCCCACACTGATCCTAATCATGGGTCTGGGAGCAAGCTATGGATATGCATTACTGAGAGGAAATACTCTCTGTATGTACTGAAAGGCAATTCCTTACAGTTCTTGTTATACAGGGATGAACTTTGGCTTTCAAAATCAGTTTCAGGAAGCAGATAATCAGAAAAGAATTGCGGGTCCAAAACGGTGTAGTGGTTAGTGTCTCAGACAAGGCTTAGAGAGTGCAGAGAGCATTTCTAACAGTCTGTCTTGTGGACATGTGTTGTAAAGTCTGTAGCCACTGTCTGTGCCCATTGCCAGAGTGCAGGAAAGGGGGACTTTTGTGCTTTGCTTACTATCTTTTCGCGGTCTCCTGATTTCACTCACTGCCCAGGTCTTTCTTCCTGTCAGCACATTGCTTCTTGAAGAAAAGAACTGCCTAGCTTCTGATGAAACTCAAAATATGAAGAGAGATAAAACTGTATCAGGACTGTGTGGTATGACTATGCAAAATAAGGCAATTTGCAAAATGTTTACATTCAAATTTTGAGCTGAGTAGACAGCTTGCTTGGCATAGATGTTTGATTTTCTTTCCACAGCCTGTCCTAATTGCACTAATCTCTCTTACTCAGGATTATCCTGTATGCAAATTTTATTTGGGATAGTGAAATTGGCAACTAATTGCCCGCTGTTCAGGACAGGTTGGTGTGCATTGGGCTGGGATGCATCTTTCAGAGAATCTTCTGTGATGTTTTGTGTGTCACAATGCAGGCAGAAATGTGGGGCACAAGCTCAACTACCACCCTGGCAAGTCTGTAAGGATGGAGGAAGGTCTCCTGGAGGAGGGAGGAAGAGGAGCTAGAGGTGGTCGTGGAAAGGCGCTGCTCTCATGGTGCAGCTGACTATGCCATTGTTGGTTAGCTGCACTCAGCCTGGCAGTGCAGGCAGGATTCACTACAGGGCAGGAAGAGTGTGGCTGCCATCCCCTCCTTACCGTCTGATCTGTTCCCATGCTTGTGTGGCTAGTGGCATGAAGAGAGAGAATCCAAGCCACCAGAAGGAGGGCTGCTGCAGCCCACAAGGCGGCTGCATTATTCTTGACGTTTCAGTGCCCAAAGTGCAGCAGCCGCATCCTGGCCTTTCTTGAGCAAATGTGACCTGGTAAACCCTGAGTCACAGGTTGCACTACTCTCACCATTGTTCAGGTCAAATCTAGTTAGATGCTTGACCCCCAAGAGACTAGACCGAAGAGACCAGGGGGCTATCCAGTCTAGCCCTCTCAGCCACTTGGGTCACAAATTCCAGGCCTTTCCTAGGTCATCACAAGCAAGGATGGCAAGTATAGGAGAAGGCCTTCCAGTCAGTTCTCTTCAAGACAGATTGTGCAGATTTTGTAGCTCCATTTCACACCAGAACCTGCCTCTTTATACCCTTGGCCTCAGTCCCAAAGACGCCTGCCTTCTTTTGACTGAATGGACAAGTTGTCAACAGTCATACACACCTCACACCTCACTCCCACAGCCACACCTCACTCCCACAGCCTCTCCCTTCATAGCATTCCCTGTTTCAGGTCCTCCACCCTTTGGGATTTTGCCAGGAGAGTTGGATGAGTATGTTTTAGGGAGGGAGAGCAGAAGGCATCCACACCCTGGACACCCTGTATGCATGAACAGAAGTAGTAGATGGGAGAGGGCAGTGAGAAACAGGGCAAGAAGAAAGGCTTTTGGGGCCATGGCACAGCATAGAAGGGAAAGGCACGCCGGTGGACTGTGTTTACTTAGTACACTGTACATTCCCAGAAGCACTCTCTTCTCTATGAGTTCAGCTCATGTTCTGAGTTTGAGTGTTTGTTAGCACTTCAAGTTCTTCCCTGGTAACATCTCTTTCTTTCTGTTACAGCTGATGATTCTGCTGTCCAGTTGTCCAGACTGGCTCCTGGTGTATCTTCTGATGCTCCCCTCTGGGATGTGGCCGATGTGTCTCTGCTGGACCGGCAGTTGGTGGCCCTGGGCAGGGATGAGGAGGTGGGGCCATCTTTGATATACAGAACTGTGGAAAGGAGGGGAGGTGAACTCCTGGCAGCTCTGACTGGGACACGTGCTTACTGAAGTCAGCCCTTTTCCCAGTTTGTGACATGGGAAATGCCTGCCATTGGCTCTTGGGACCCAAGTCTCTCAGGGATGATTATAGACAGCATTAGTTTCTCCACGGCCCTGCAGCTTTTGTGTCAGGTTTTCTAGAAAGGTTGGGAAGCCCTTCACTCTCCTTCCTGCCTGTATCTGAGAAGGGCATCTGTTTGAACTCTCTGCTCTGGCAATCCATAAGGCAGGAAGTGTAGAGGAATGGGCAAAAGAGCAGGGATGATGAAGAACAACAATTCTGACCATGCTGTTCTGTTTGCTCTTTTAGGATCTTCTCCAGAACCGGAAACGGACCAGTAGTTCTGTTTCAGGTACAAGTTCAATATGCCTATCAGGTAAAGAGATGGGACCATAGGGAGTCCTGAGACACTGCTATGCACTCACATGGGTCCATTGACACACCTTTGCACTATCAAGTTCTAAATACATAATTATACACAATAACACACAGTATTAATGTGTGCTATCAGATTCTAGATGCAGTACTTAAGCTTTGGCAGATGCTTCCACCTGGCAAGAAAGAGGGAAACCAAAGCGCCAGGGTGCTACATGTGAGGGCAGGGCCTGTGCACCAGGAGGGTGCAGTTCTTGCCAGGCTCGAAGGTCAGAGTAGCAAGTCAGTTTTTGTGTGAGTAGGAAATGTGTGGGGGCATGAGGGAACTTCCCCCCTCCACCCACCACGTCCCTTGGGACCACCATGATGAGTAGTGGGTCGTGTGTAGATTTGTGCTTTTTGAAAAGCAGAGTAGCGTATCTGGAGGGAGGAGATAAACTGAAAGTGTAATCTGTCCTTGGATTCTCTGCTGGTTGATCCAAAATATGTAGGGACAAACTATGATTGTCTGATAATAGGGGGGGAAACAGCTCTGCATGTTTGTGGTGGTAGGGACAAGTTTTAATTGTCACTGTGCAAATCCCATAATGCAGAATTGGCACCAGGAACAAATCCCAAGGTTTAACCTTGTGCCTCATCTTCCACACACTGAAAGGCTACAGCCTCTCTCATGGAAAGGCCTGATGTGTCATGGCGATCTTTTTTGTTTCGAGGAAGCCCTGCTACTGGACAGGTGCAGCTAGACTTCAGCTTAGAAACAATAGCCAGAACAAACCAGTGCCATCATATGCATGTCAGCCATAGAGGTGTATGGGGAAGGAAAAGATGCCATGGTCTTTATATGAGGGGGGACCCAATCCCCCCAGGAATTTATTTATGCAAAAATCATGTGTTTATTTTTACGTGTTCAAACATCAACCACCTTCAAAGTACTCTCTATTTGATGCAATGCACCTATCGAGACATTTTTTCCACTGCTTAAAACAGGTTTTGAACTCATCAATTTTGATGCCTTTTAGTGTTTCTGCCATTTTTTGTTTAACCTCTTCCACATCGGCAAAACATTTCCCTTTGAAGACATTTTTCATCCAGGAAAACAAAACAAACAAGCAAAAAATGCACAGGGCGAGATCGGATGAATAGGGAGGATGGGGCACAAGGGCCATGCTGTTTGTGGTCAAAAACTGCTGAATACTCAGCTGAACAAAATTTCATTTCACCACCACAGGTTGCTTGTGTAAATCAGCCACCATGAAATAGGCAAAATCATTGAAAAAGTCTCCAAAAAAAAAAAAAAAAAAAACCCCAACCCCTCACTGAAGCCGAACGAAGCATCTCACAACAACCCAGCTGGGTGCTCTGATGCAGATGGGTTCTTGGAACCTAGTGGGGGGAGCCTGTACTACAAGGGGCCCACCCTCCAGAAGATAATTCCTGGGGGGGGGTTGGGTCCCCCCTAGTATTGATCCGATATGTAGGACAAACAGGTCAACAAATGCAGCATAGGCTAGCCCAAAGTACTGGAAGTAGTGCTGGTTCCGGGGTTTTATTTTCACTGGCAGGGTGAATTTCCTGCCTTTCTGGGCAGAGCAAGAGGACTGGTGCTTTGCATTCTCCCACCCTCACCCAGAGGGGCCCGTGTGGGCAAGTGCGGCAAAGCAGAGAGGTGATTGGAAGAGTTGCACCAGCTGCTTCCCTTACGCGGCATTTGCCAACCAGGCTCCCTGGAACGGTTGTCCAGTGGCACCGCAGTGGGTGCTGCAGTGGGTAAGTGACTGAGCAGGTGACTGGACTTGCCTTTTGAAGTGTGTCGGCCATTAAAAGAGGCAGTCGCTGGAGAACCCCCTCCTGCAGCGCCTGTCTCTGTGGAAGGACCTGGCTCCTCAGTCCATCTATGTGACCCCGACTTCCTCTCTACACGATCACGCCAGCTGCTTTTATGGCTGATATGGTTGTTCAGTGGCGGCAGCACCAATGGCAGTGGTGGGGTGGGGGAGGTAGGAGGCCTGGCAGGGACTGGGAGAGCAATGGGGCGGTGGGGAGGATGTGGAGTGGCAGTGGGAAGACACAGGAGGCCTCTGTGGGGACATGCCGGATGTGTGCTGCCTGTCCTCGGGCAGAGGCTGAGCTTGGGCTGGCACTTTTCACAGACCTTGGAAGGAAGGTCTATGAAACGGTCTTATTGCCTTGGAAAGAAAAGATCTGATCGTTGCGCTGCTGATGCCGCGGGTACCTGCTGTGTGCACACTCTTGCCAGCCCTCCTGCACAGCAGGACATGGGCAGTTGTCCTAAACATTTAGCCCCACTCTTTAAAAACGGCTTGGCATAACTGCAATGGCATTTGCAGCAAGGATGGGCCATCATGCTGTCCTTCTGAAGCTGTGCCTCCTCCATTCGTGGCATTCAGACACAAACACTGAGGAACTAGGCCAGGCATTGCCCCTTTGCACCACTAGATGGCTGCAGTTGGTTTAGATGCCTTCGCAGCCGCACCATTAACCGGAAAGTAAGCCTTTGCTGATCACACTTTTCCTCAAGGGCCCTGCCGGCACCCATCGCCTTGACTATAGAAAAGTAGAAAAAAGTTCTGCTTGCTTTCAGCCTTCCCCAACCTGGTGCCCTCCAGGTGTGTTTGACTACAATGCGCATCAAGCCCAGCCAGATTTTTAGGGAATACCTTTTTCTGGTGATAATCTAGAAGATGTGCAATGCCCATGAGAGAGGAGGTGGAGGAGGCTGTGCTTTCTTTCTCACCTTTAGAGAGAAAGATAAGACCCATTTCTTTCACAGGCTTTGGAAAAGCTCTGTAGGCCTTTCCTTGGTGCAACCCATAGAATAAAAATAGAATAAAATGAAATAAAACTGTTAATAAGGAGCAAACAAAGTAGGGGCTATAGTAAGCCATAGCCAGGGACACTTCCTGTCTAGAGGGCCTGCAGTCTGTACTAGATGGACAAGACAGCTCCACAACCATGGGAGAGCTCAGGGATTTATAGGGAGAGTTGCCTAGGGAACTTAGATACCCCCTTAATCCAGGTAATCCTCACACCTCTGCATCATATCTCTTCCATGTGGACAGCAGCATGGGAAAAAAGCTGATGCCAAACAGCCATAAGCCATATTCTGGCATGCTCACCAGTACCAGAACCTGCATGGAGCCGCTCTGCAAAGCTCTCAGTTGTTGATCAAGTTCCCATCCTATCCAGGTCCCTTTTGGCTCCTCATGCTTTGTTCTCTCTTCTTCTTCTGGGCAACAATGCCCAGGGAGCCCAGATTTCCCATGGCAATTGTAACCACATCAGCCATTGATCTTCACACAGAGCTCTACCAGTCTTTGGGAAGTTAGTTTTCTGGAAGCTCCTAGGCTGTACCAGAAGCTGTAGATTGGGCCAATCGTAAGCACAATCGAAATCCCCTCTCCCTCTCCCAGCAGTGGTCATTAAACAGTGTGACCAAAGCTATTTCCATGACAAACCCAGTCAGAACCTCAACTGAAATGGATCCAGGTAATCGTCTCATCCCAGAAGGGCTGGAGTTGGTTGACAACCACCTGCTTAAGGAAAGGAACATTTTCTACTTGCCTAAATGTATTAAGCTATTCCAAGTGACGATTTCTTCAGGAGTGGTCTTACTGCTGCCTCTTTCAGGCAGTGTGGGTCCACTCCTTCTCACAAGGACCTCCCTGGTTCTGCCAGTTATTCTTTCCTTGCTGGTTTTTATAAGCCAAGAAGGGCAAGGATCCAGCGCAAAGGTGGCTGCACAGACTTGTCTAAGCACTTTGTCAACAAACTGAACCAACTGGAAGTCATCTAATAAAACCAGACTAGGTTGTGCTCTGGGTACCTCATATGATTCAACAGCTTTAACCCTGGAGACTAAGTTCCAGCAAATGCAGGAGATTTTTTTTCCTGGAAATGCCCAGGAAATATATTACAGCAGGCCTTAGTTGGGTCTAAGGTGTCTTTGGGGCCAGCATGTAACAGGCTCCAGATAACCCTCAAAAGCTCTGCTGGGTAGCAAATAGAAGACTGAATAAAGACAGTGAGGTGTTGGTCCTTTGCCATCCTCATGGCCTCTAAAGAAAGCCTCTTGTAGGCACGCACTAGGGTTCAGTTGTGTCCACTAGGAGTTTCCCTCATCTGCATTTATGCCTTCTCCTGTGTTGTCCCACTACTCTCACTTCTGGAGTCATGCAACTTCTACAGCAGAGAGAGTGCTCAGAAATAATCTCATTAACCTCATCTCTGCATCCACAGCTTGACCAGGGCTTCAATAGAAACACTAGCCACATCAGCCAGAAAGTCCCCCAGAGCCCTCCAGGGGCAGTCCATCATTATAGGTCCCCCACCATTGCAGAGGGGAAAAGTTGCCTGTAGTGGTACAATGATCTTGTAGTCATACGATGAAGGTGAACGACCCTGGACAATCTTGCTTAGCACAAGCTAAGGAGAGCTGCTATAGTGTGTAGCTGATATTCCTGTAAGAGCGCTAGCAGAGATAATATTTGTGAATAATTTTCAGTTCCAGTCAGCCAACGTGGGGCTGACAAGGGCTACAAGCCAGCATAACGGGCTAGTGTGTGTGCCGTTTGCCCCAACTTCCAGGAATTGTCTCCTGCAGGCCACAGGACATTAGCCATCCAACCAGTGCACTTTGCTCCCAACAGAGATGTCCACTGATGGACGAAGTTTGCTGGACCCACAGGCCCCTGAGAAAAGGCACTTGCAGGAGGCTTCCTCTGGGACACAACTCAGCAATGTGAAGGTACCAAAGACCCACTGGATATTGTAGGCTCAGAGAATTCAGGCTGGTACTTAACAGTAGGGGTATGAAGGGTGGGGGCATGAAGAAGGAAGGCCTGCCTTGGAGAAGCCTGGCAGGACCTCTAGAGTCTGTGTGCTCGGATCACACAGCTCAGGTGTTTCCCATCTCTCAGTTCCTGCTGCTTTTTTCTTTGGAGAGGAGCCATAGCAGAACACAAGTTTTGCATACCAGGGGCCCTTAGCATCTACCGGAGGTATAGAACAGCCTTTGTCCAAGAATGCTGGGATAGATGGACCAAGGCAGCTTCCTGAGCTCACACTCTCTGATCTGGTTAGCAGTAGGGAGGGAGGCTGTGGCGCATCATTTTGGCTCCCTTGAGTAATTGCTCCCAGTTGCTCCACAGCTGAGCTGTAACTCATTCCTGCTTGCTCAGCTCTCAGCCAGAGAAATAAGGGTTTGATCTGCGAAGGGCTTGGGTGTGGATCCCTCCCTGAGAGAAGGGCTGGACTTGGGGGCCTTTCCAACTATGCTTCCTGCCCATAATGTATGTCCAAGGAGGCTGCGTCACCGCAGCAGGCAAGAGGCCCACATGACTGTCCCTTCTGCCCTATCCCATCCCCAGGGCCTGCTGTGGAGACGTCTCAGAGACCGGAAGGGGCGAGTCCAAGCCAGGATGGACTCCTCAGCTGGGCTTGCTGTGAATGGCTACAGGTAGCCCTAAAACTTGCATTATTTCATCTCTGTTGCCTCTTTATTGACATTTCTCCTGTAACTCCGCTTCCCATGCCAGCAGCCCTGTGTGTTAGTGGGGACCATGCCACTTAGGATGGGTGGGGGGAGAAAATGCTGCCCCCTAAATATTGTGTACTGCTACTAGGCCAATCAGACTCCTGTTCCTTCAAAGGGAGAAGACTGGCTTACTGGGATATTTTCAAAAAAAAGTTTAGATGCTCCCTTTTTTCTTTCCCCCACATAATGGCGGGAAGAGAGGAGAGAAAGGGGCAGAAAGCAAAAAGAGCCTCAAAATGAAATAAGCATTTTAATGTAAGTCTTTAGGCTATAACATAGAAGAATGCAATCCCAAATTCAAGTCCAAATGAAACATTTGTCTTATCATATATAAATTAGCCATGCCAGGCAGCTTTACTTGCTCTCAAATAAGCACACGCAGCTTCAATTCTCATTAAAAACATGACAATTGGAGGTGAGTTAAACCTTCTGCCTCTTCCATTTTCTCTTGAAATTCAAGCCCTCGTACATGGGTGGTACACACACACACACACACACACACACCCTCACTTGATCCTTCACCTTCCTGGCATGTCGTTAAGACTCTAATCTGGAGTGCACAATAAGTGAAGCTCAGGGACTGGAAATCTCACACTGACAAACAGGCACAGAGCCTGTGGTTATGGGCATTTGTCTAGACATGCTGCTGCCTTTGTTCCTGGGATAATTTTGGCAGCTCTGGTGCAAGGGGTTGTGACTTTGCAACCAGCCAGGCCTCACTGCAGCTTCATTCCCAAGCGTGGATTTAGGAAAGTTGTGGGTATTCACTGACTCCCCTTGAATCCTGCATTTCTGGTCTTCTAGATGTGCTTTTGTCTACAGTTCCCATCATCCCTTGCTGTTATAAATGTGATTAAAGCGGATGGAAATTGCAAGCCAAAACATTTGGAGGGCCACAAGCTGCCCAAATCTGCATGTGAATTTGAATTTCTGACGATCTGACCTGCACATCTTATCCTCATGCAGATTCTATGGACTTTCAGAAAAATCTTTAATTTTTCCATAATTTCTGTAAATTAAGTCAGGGCAAATAGCAAAAAATTCTTTCATACAGTAACATGCAAAAATGCATTTGAGGGAATCTGCATATTTGAGGGGATTGGAACATTTTTGGGAATTTGATAATTTGCACAGATTGGTGCAAGATCTGATTCTGTCAATCAGCAGACAATGGAATGAAAGCTACCTCACAACGGCAAAATGTAGGTGGAATGGATGTTAATCTACATGCAGTCCTAACCATAAGTTCTGGGGCTGGAAATAGTCTTGTCCTTTCAGGAAGGTGGTGGAACATGAAATAGAGGTAAGAAGAGAAATATGCCCATAGTAACATCTTCTGCCAGATACTGCTAAATTGCATAATTTGAGGAGCGCTTTTCAAGAATTTTGAAACAGCACAGCTTGAGGGAAGTTGATAGGATAGGGTGATGCTGCTGCTGGAAACTGCCAGATAGACAGTGGTCCTTGTACTCCAGGGGCCGTCAAACTTTTTCAGCAGGGGGCCAGTTGAAAGGTGCCAATGCTGGCCGTGGGCCAGAAAGGTGGTGTTGGCAGTGCATGCGGGTGCGGGCCCTGTGGTGGGGGCAGGGCATGAGGGGAGGGGAGGCAGGTGCACAAGGCAGCGGCTTGCTCACTTGGAGATCATCTCCGAGCGAGCAAACCGCTGCCTCCCTGTGCAAGGGGCGAGGTGAGCGGCAGCGGGTGCACACACGGGCCCAGGGGCGGTGGGTCCAATGGGCATGGCGGGCCGGATAAATGGGCATGGCAGGCTGGATCCGGCACCAGGGCCTTCGTTTGAGGACCCATGTTGTACTCATTGCCTACTCCTGCTTTGTCCTGGACCTTCTCTTGCTTCCCCAGGGAGTCCCTGCCTGGTCCATCTGTCCTTCTAGACTTGGCTAATGAGAAAGATGCCTTGATCCGCCCACTTCACAGCAGCCTTCTGGGAGAGCGGTACTGCTTTGAGGTAAGTGCATCTTGATGTCCCTTGAAGTGTTGAGTTGCCTTTTCTCATGGCATCCTTCATAAAGAGAGCAGAGCATACCTGAAAGGTACACTTCTTTACCTAAGATGGGTAATCAGCCAACACAGTGACGAAAGCATGGCTTTTGTACACACTCAGGTCTTTGTCATAATGTTGTAGGCCCTCCAGAGATGACAGTAACGGACGGCATACAATTTTTTAAAATAAATAAATAAATCTCCAGTTGGTCCAAGACATGAGATTAGGCTGGCGGGAGAAGAAAGTCTCCCTGCTGTAAAGGGAGACATGCCTACCATGTTCCAGGATGGAGTATTCAAGGGCAAGAGTTTCAATTGGGACCTTCTTCTAATTTAGGGTTGAACCCTAGCATTGTAATTGGGGTCCCCGGTGAATGCTGGCTTAGAATAAACTCTGCCTCCTTTCTTCATCTCCATGTTGACAAAAGGATGTGGCCACAGGTGGAACATCTGCTTCCACAGAAGAGCACAGGACAGAGCAGCTCAGGGTCAGCATCAACATATTCTCCCCTCTTGCAGGTGCTCACTGCTAGGGGCCGGTGCTGCTTCCGATGTACCTCTGCCCCTGAGAGGACCCGCTGGATGGAGGACTTGCGCCGGCTTGTCCAGCCCAGCATGGTAAAGGCAGCTCTTCCTTTCTTTGTGCTGCTTCCTCTGCAGCCGATTCCACCAGCATCCTCCAATACTGGCTTGTCCCAGCCTCTACTCTCCAGATAAATCCATTTTCTCTGTCCTCTGTTCCACACGCCACCCTGGCACAGAACACTGACCCCAACCCTGTATTCACCAGTTTCACCACTTTGTCTTTCACTGTCCCTCTCTCTCTGCAGCATCTGCACTCTGCCTTGGGCCAATTCTTCCTTAACTCCTTAGCAATACTGTGGCCTTCCTTCATCATGATTAAACCCTATCTATTATAACTATTTCAGTTTATTGACTTCTGGTTTCATGGTCTAATACAACCAGCAAGGTGCCTTCTCCACGGTTTGGACTTCAGCTGCCCAGCAGCCTCAGACAGCATAGCCAGCAGTCTGGAGGAGTGGCATCTACAGCAACTGGAGAGCACCAGAATGGAGGAGACTTAATTATAACTGGCCTTCCAAGGGGTCCTGTTCTTAACCTGCCTCCTTTTCCTAGGACAACTGTGAACGGGTCGAGCGTGCTCTGAGTCTTTGGGTGTATGAAGCCCGGGACCTGCCTCCCAGGAAGCGTTTTCTCTGTGAGCTGCGGCTGGACGGGGCCCTGTATGCCCGCAGCACAACCAAGCAAGCCAGCTGCACTGGAACCATTTTCTGGGGGGAGCACTTTGACCTGAAGACTCTGCCCCCAGCCACGGAACTGCAAGTCTGCTTAGTGCAGGAGGAGGAGGGGCAGCGGCCAAAGGACGGCGCCGTTGCCAGCGTAGCCATTCCTCTGAAGGAGCTGGCTGCGGTGCGCCAGCCCTTGGAGAAATGGTATCCCCTGGGCAGGGACAGGCCAAACGTGCCCACCCTAAGGCTGCGAGGACGCTGCTGCAACGTTCGCGTGCTGCCCATTGTGCAATACAAGGAGTTCGCCGAGTACCTCACCTTCCACTACCGGGAGCTGTGTGCTGGCTTGGAGCACAGCCTCAGTGCCAGGGACAAGGAGGAGTTGACGGGGGTCCTGGTGCGTGTGTTGCAAAGCACAGGCAAGGCCAAGGTAAGTCTTTCTTGCTGCCTGAAAGGAAGGCCTGGCATATAGCTCGATGTTCCCTTGCACCGCTCCGGGGGTGGCTCTCCCGGCAACTGCTGTTTTGCTTCTGGGATTGGGTGCTGTAGGATTGTCCGTTGAGCTGCTACGGTGGCTCTCAGGAGCAGGAAAACTGAGATGAATGGCCCAGGATCATTTTGGACTTCTCCACCCTGGATATTATCAAGCAGGGAGAGAGCCTGGTTCAGAATTAGGCTCTGCATGGGGCTGAAGGAGTGGGATGGGGGATTTCTTAGGCAAGGCGGTGCTTGTCCCACTAAGCCTTTCCCCTCCTCTCTTCCAGGACTTCCTCATTGACCTGGGCGTGGCAGAGCTGGACCGTTTTGATGAGCGGGAAGCATTGATTTTCCGCGAGAACACACTTGCCACTAAGGCCATTGATGAATATATGAAGCTTGTGGGAGGCCCGTACCTCCTGGCCACATTGGGTAAGCTGAGAGTCTGGCTGGCTGGCAGGCAGCAGGGACTGTCTCTGTTTTCCAGATAAGTTACCTGGGTTTTCCTGCTCTTGCCTGAAGGCTGCTTAATCATGGCAGAAGAAAGCATCAAAGCACTCCTTCAGTGAAACACTACTTAAGCTTTTTTGGCACTAGGTACATAAAATAGCCCATGAAACCCTCTACCAGTAGATATAGTGATGGCCAAAACTGGTTTCCTGCCGGCAATCTCAATATTTAATGGTGATCGTTCTCTTATTAGTCACCTGGCAGTTCTCAGATCTTTGCCAGCCCCTTGGTCATTGGTGCACTATGGTTCAAACCAACCTTCCCCAACTACCATCAGCACAGCCAGTGGTCAGGGATGCTAGAGTTGTGGCCCAAAATATCTGGGGTGCACCAGCTTGGGACAGCAGGTTTAAAATATACACAATCTATTCAGTAAATAAAAGGCTGTGAGGACATTAGAACATTTTCCCACTTTTACTTGTTCTTAGAAATGGCAGCCACCAGTGAAAGACAGTTGCTACCACCGGAAATACACAGAGTTTCTCTACACAAAGCATTTATTGTGTGCTCATGATTCTTTAGTTAATAGTTCTGCTCGCTTCTTTAGGTGACAGCATGATCCCCAGTTTCTTTCCTGGATTTTTTTAAGAGTAGAAAAAATGAGGCATTATTTAGGAAAGTAGAAAAATGCCATTTTCCTATCTGTGTAATTGTGATATTCTGCTACAACATGGCACCACTGAAGGGTTATACAGTGAGAAAGCAGGAAAGGAAAGCACTGTGTTGGATCTCAGTTCTGTGGACATATATGCAGCAGTTAAAAACCTCATGTAGAAAAGCTCTGAATTTTCACTGGAAGAGCCTTATGTGACTCTAGATCCTTTATTTTAGCATGGTAATTTCTCACATTTATCATGGCTGCTTTCTCGTTAATTTCTTCCTGTCCAATCCCAGCCTCAGGAGTACTGAATTGCCACATCGTTCCTGTTCCTTGGAAGTGCTACTGTTTTAATTGTGGCTTTGTTCATTTTTTTCTGTGTTGTAATTGAGCTTCGATCGCATTTAAGACTAGAGGCAGTTGGGAGGGTGTGGTGATGCAGGGTAAAAACATAGTGTTGTTTTGTGTGTCAGGTGCTGTGTGTAAAATGCCCCCCTTTCAGCAGCCTCACTCATTCAAGGGGCCTTTGAAGAGCAAGTAAGCTGCGCAGATTCACCACTGGCAGGGGCAGGGGACCCTAATGTTTGCCCCAACCCCACCATGGGCTTGTGATGAGGGAGACCAGGGGCCCACCCTTGATGTCCAAAGCGTGGCTTTGCTACCCTGGTGTCAACAGTGGCTCAACCCTCACCTTCCCCACTTTCTTAACAAGGACCGAGAGACTGGCAGAAGACTCTGGGAGAGGCCTGAACGTGCCACTGATCACACCCATGACTGTGAGCCAAGTTCTAGTCCATGAGCATCCCTGTCACCTCTGCAGCCATCATTGCAGCCTGGATGCTGCTAAAGTGTGTTCTGTGTGTGTGCAGGAGACATTGTGGCCCGACCATCCTCTTTGGAGGATAGCTGTGAAGTGGACCCCAGCAAATGTGCACCGTGTGACCTGGCTGACAACCGCAGCAACCTAAAGCATATCTGTGAAGAGGTCTTCCACCGGATAGCTGCATCCAGCAAGTAAGTCACAAACTAGTGGGGTTGGGGAAGGGAGCCTTTTCCACTCAGAGTCATGCGGGGAAAACTGGAACACTGTTTGTGGTTTCCTTTGAATGGGGAGACCCATGCTTCACATTTACAGATTGCTAGGCCAGAAAGTTCACATCCAGAAGCCCCCATGACTCTTATGGCAGACAGGTCACCATCCCAAACAAATTGCCAGTAGCAGGGCAGCTAGCGCAGGGACGATCTGCTGTTTCAGCGTCCACAGTGCAAATTTAGTAATACTGAGGCTGTGACTTTGAGCCTTGAGAGGGCCATTTCTTCGTCACGGTGTGAGCCAGGAGTCATTCCTTCCACTGCCACTGCACCACTGAAAGGCAGAAAAAGTGTCGCCTTTTCTTGAAAAAGATCAAGAATCCCCCCACCCTCAGTGCAAAGTCCAAGAATCTTTATACATTTACAAAACTGAAAAAGCGTGCTCCTGGAAGACTCCCCACATGCCTTGCCTGCAAGAAAGATCACCACTTTTTTGGCTGTTGCCACAACATCAAGTGCAGTGGCAGTGGAATGAAAGGGTCGCCCACACTGGTTTTTAACCAAGAAGTTCCTCCTCCCCCGAGATCCAGACAGACAGTTTCTGCATGGAGATGAAATCTCGCCATGTGCCCTGGAGTCCCTGAACACTCATGGACGGTGGGTCACCCTGCCTCAGGACTCTGTGAATTAGCCACGCGGACGTGTCTTTTTACGCATGGCTCAGCTGTGCCTCACTCTGTGCCAGGACCATGGAGGGGGTGGGGCAGCAGCTCGGAGGGCAGCTCCCCCAGTGCTATTCCAGCACCTGCCCGCCCCCCCACCACCACCACAATGGTTAGTTCTCACTATAGGCAGGGAGAAGAGAAGGAGAGCGGGGAGCAGCATTCACCCTCGTTACCTAGTAAATGGTAAACCTGCTCCTGACCTCCAGCTTTCTAGCCAGTGATTGTAGAGACACAGGCATGTCCTTCGGAAACTGTCTTTACACATTTTCTGAAATCAGAATGCATATATATATAAATTCAGTTCCTTCAGACACATTAGACTACCTAGGCTTATGCTGGGCTCCTCTGTAATGACTCCTTGTTGCACACTGTTGTTCTGTTCCATATGCTTTGTTACCCTCTGGCACAAAATGGCTGCCTTCAGGCCTGCCTTAGCCAGTCATCATGTCCTTTTTCTCTGCAGCTCCTTCCCCGCCGAGCTTAGTGAGATCTTCACTGCCTGGCAGGAAGCCTGCCAGTTGCGGGGCAAGATAGACATTGGCCAGAGGCTCGTCTCCGCATCCCTTTTTTTACGCTTCCTTTGTCCAGCCATCATGTCTCCTAGCCTCTTTGGCCTCACTCAAGAATACCCAGATGACACCACCTCCCGCACCCTCACCCTGGTGGCGAAGGTCATCCAGAACCTGGCAAACTTTACCACGTACGTAACTGGCTCCCTGGCACTGCCCAGGAGGAGTGGGCTGATAATGTGTCCCAGGGGTGGCAGGTCAGCTCCAGGCTGGTCTCAAGAGAACAAACAAAGCATCATAGGGGCATTGGCATCCATGTGCCTGAGAACACCTATCTGCACAGGATTGGACCACTGTGTTGGATGCAATAGAGAGTTGCATTCAGTATTCAGCTGGATTCAGTATCTGATTCCGCCAGCAGAAACTGTGTGCTTTTAATGTTTGTTCCCACAACTTTTCCTCTCTGGCTTTAAAAAAAATAGACAAACTGATGGAGGAGAAGATTGTCAATGGCTACAGATTCTGATATTTGCTATTGATATGGTACTTTATGCCCCCCCCCCCCGGATCACAGGCAGCATGCCTCAGCATTCCAGTTGCTGGAATACTGCAAGAGCAGGAGCTGTTGAGTTCACGTCCTGCCTGGGCTTTTCAGAAAGGCCGGGGAATGGGTTGCTGTGCTTTATAGGTCAGCCATCCCCAACCTGGTGTCTTCCAAATGTTCTGCATTGCAATTCCCATCATTCCTAACTCCTTGCCATGCTGGGTCGGACGGATGGGAGTTGTTGGAGGATGAGTAAAGTTGACTCAGCCTTTGGTCTGCCCCAGCATGATTCTTCCTACATTTTTACCAGCCCTGTCAAGGAATAGTATGCTCAAAGTTTTATATTTGTTTATATATTACATTTTGCCCATTTTGCAGATTGAGGATGAAGCCTGAGAGAGTGGTGTCAAGCAAATTGCTCTGTGTCTCAGTTAGGAGCTAAATCTGGTGTTTCCTGCACCACTCTGCCTCTCTCACACCTTCATATGTCATGTTCATCTGTCCTGGAATACGAGATGTCTCCTGTATGCCCTCTGGGATTCGGCTACCTTGCCTCCAACCAAATTGTGCAGAGCCCAAGATCTCCAAATGCGATTGTGGCCCTGGTAGGGCAGCACCCCAACCACTCAGCTGCCTTAACTCCTGTGTAATTTCACGAGTGTGCCAGACGCTTCCCTGACACCTGTGTTGGTGCCCACGCCTGTGTGCATGGACCAGTGTCTCATCTGGGCAGGGGCAGAGAGTGAGAGACTGGGCTGCAGGTGGAGGGGCTCCTTCAGTAGCAAGCTATCTGAAGGAATCCAGCAGTTCTGGGAGAGGGCTGGGGGGGGGGGGGGTCCAGTGATGCCACATGTTTCCCTGCCCAGGAGAATCAAGGGTGCTGGGGTGAGTGTTCCAGCAGAAGCAGCGTAATGCCCTTCCTTGGCCAGCAGCCCCAGTGGTACCGGGAGCGAGGAGGGTGTGCTCCACAGGGCTCAGCCACACCTGACATTCCTTGTGGCATTCTGCTTCCCACAGGTTTGGGGAAAAGGAGGCCTACATGAGCTTCATGAATGAGTTTCTGGAGCACAACTGGGGCACCATGAAATCTTTTGTCAGCAGCATCTCAAGCCCTGGCAGTGCCCTCCACTTGGCTGCCTTTGATGACTCCATTGACCTCGCCCTGGAACTGTCCATCCTGCACTCTCTGCTGTGCAATATCTTCTCCTCCCTGGATGCTGTGAGCTACTGGTGGTTTCTGTATGTTTGTGTGTGTAGTGGGGGAGCTCTGCTTCCCAGGATCTCTGTCCCACTGCTGGCCAACTCTGTGTCCTGTTGCAGCTGGGCTCGTTCGTGGCTGATTGTGCTTCCATGTGAGGCTTTTAATCTGCCTTTGTTTGGCATCATTGACCGAATTTCATGGGGCTCCAGAAGATGTGGTTTTCCACTCATTATCCTCCTGTTTTCCTGCCACTCCTTCCATCTTCTTTCTTACTATGGGGTAACTGTGCAGGAAGAAAAGATGGAAGAGCTGCCCAAGGCCTTCTGAGTGAAAGTGCCAGGAACCCTTGTGTCTGGCAGCACCCTGGAATGCAAAGCAGATGTGAGACAGGGGGCATGGGCAGAGGCTGAGGGCTGAACAAGTCCAGTGACCTGGAATTGGCTGGGACAAATAGTGGCTCATGCCAAGGTATTGCACATAAAGATGCCAGTAGATTAGCCAGGGCTGTCCTGGAGTGAGGATGCTAAACCGGGAGGATGAGACAGGAGCTCCTAGGTAGCAGGTTCAGAAAAGAAAAGCAGCAGAGGGCTCAGCAGCCACTCTGGGAACACAGTGTAACATGGTGGGGGGCAGTGTGCAAAGGTACAAACTCCAGTGGTCAGATTCTGCTCCTGTTTGTCGGTCTGGAGTGAGAACAGATTTGCTGGCAGTTTGGCCAAGCCTGCAGAAGCCCTTCCCCATTTCTGCAAGTCCCTCTGCCAGGAAACGGTCAGGCTCATTTCACTGTCATTTGCTGCTTTGTTGCTCTTAAGGGGACCTGGGAGAGACTGGAGCCTCTGCCAACGATCCTCCGTGCCATCCAAGAGGGGACACCAGTTCCTGTCTCAGTTCGACTTGAGCCCAGCATCAAGGAGAGGAGGTAATGAGTGAGTGACTGCACTTGCGGCACACACTCCTTTTGGTGCGGTGGGTGGGGAGCTGCACACAAGGCCTGAGGGAGGATTACTGGATCATCAGGGGCAGGAAGAGCACCCGCCACTTGAAAACTTGGAGCTGGACATGGCTTGTGCTCAGGTGTAGCCTGGATGTGCTAGTGCCAGAGAGAGAATCTAGCGTCAGGCAACTTCCCAAGCCAGGGCGGAGCTCTTTTCTCTTTGATGTGGAGTATGGTTGTGGAAGGGGCTTGAGTATCAGATAGACCAGGCAGGAGAGTTTTTGCAATCTCAATCTATCTGCTGTTAGGTCACAGAGGCCCTTCCTACATGGTTCCCTCTTTCTGGTGCTGTGCACTCTGGCCCTGAAAAGTCAACATCTTAAAAAAAAAACTAATTGTATCAGATCAAATAAAATAAATGGAGTGTACTGGGCAAAACACACAAGCACACATGTATTTGGCAGGTAATATTTGGATGCAGTTTAGATGAGAATAGCCACAATTGGAGCCCTGCACCTGGTGTGCAGGTACCAGCGTATTCTAAGAGATGGATCTGATAGCAGATATATTGCTATACTGTTGTAGCCTTCCAGGCTCTGGTGTGAAGACTCAGTTCAGGATTCCAGGATGTGTCTTGCTTTAGTGCCCGCGTGGGCGACCTGGCAGTCCCATGCAGCCCACTGAGTCTCAAGAAGACCCACCCCTCCTCAGTCCGTTGGGATAGCTATCAGGATTGGGGTTGCTGGGTCAGCAGGGAAGAGGATTTGACTTCCCCACCACTGCCAGTGATCCCAGTATCACTATTCCTGCCCCACTAATAGCAGTGGGAAAACAGCAACCCTAGGGAAGATTGCTGGGAGAGGTTTTCACCTCCCTGTCCCCAAGCAACCCCATCTCACTGCACAGGGAGGGAGGTTTAAACCTCTGCTTCCTTCCAATTGAAATGTGGGTGGATGAGATAAGTCCTTTATTCAAATTCATTCATTCAAAAATAAAAATAATAAGCGTGCACATGCATATCTGCAAGTCGGTATGTGCACCTCCGAGGCCTTTAGGATCCAAAAGGTGCCCCCCTTTCTTTTTAAAGCTCCCTGCCCCCTACCCTGTCTTTGTCTTCCAGACAGACAGAAAATGAGAAACCAGGATTTGTGCCACCACGGGAGCTGGACAAACACAGCCCTCTCATCAAGAGCCAGTCCATGATCAGCATCCAGAAGGGCAGAGGCAAGGAAGAGTCACTGACCCCTCTGCAGCCAGCCAAAGCCAGGAGCAAAGTGCAGCGGACCCAGAGTGTGCCCACTCAGAACAAAGCGGCTCGGCGACTTCACAAGCAGAGCAGCACAGAGCATGTGGCCTCCCGCCAGGAGAGCAGCCCTCAGCGGTGCACTTCCCATGAGTACGGGGGCAGCAGCAAAGTCTCCCAGGTAATCTGGGCTATGGCTTGGGCGTCCCAACCATTCTTGCATGGCTTTGATGCTCACCAAATGCTGTTAGCCAACTTTGAGAAGAGACCAAATCCTGCAAAGAATACAGAATACACACAATATAAAAGTCTTTAAAGTGCATCTACTTTCATTTTTAAGAGTCCCTCAAAGTTTAGAAAGTAGAAAGGTTCTGGGTGCTCAGAAGGTGGTACTTCTGCTCTCAGGTCAGTAGCCTGTCCTTCCACCTCGCTCTCCCTGTTCTTTCTTCATTACAGTCTCTTTACTAAACTTTCAGGAAAGATACATGAGCTCCACCATTGTTTATTTGAACAGAACTGAGCACACACAGATATTGATACTGCCAGTAAGTGCAAATCAGGCCAATGAGAAAATGAGACAGGACTTTTTTCATAGCAGCTCCCCAACTTTAGGACTCCCTTCTTACTTTGAAAGCACGTTTTAGTTCTAAAATGCAGCAAAGAAATCCTTTAAAATGGATGGATGGATGGATGACTTGGGTTTAATCCAAACATACTTTTGATTGACTCACTAAAATAAGTTAGTGATTGGTAGCTTAAGTCCCATTTATTTCGGTGTGTCTGTGCTACTTATGACTAAGTCTGGATGCATAGATATAATTGGCTACTTTGCACACCTTGTTCTGAGCTCTTTGGTCACAGAATCTGGGGGTTTTCAGCGCAGATCTTTGGACAGAGAAATACAGAACCCAAGCAGTTGTTCCAGTGGTTGAACCTGCAGAGAAAAGGAGAAAAGCCAGTCTCCCAGAGGCCCTTCTTGAAGTGTATTTTTATGGTGGTGTCTTGAGACTGCTTGTACATCTGTCCTAAGTGATAGGCAAGCAAGAGCAAATGGATACAGTGATTGTGGAGAGAGTTTCGACTGACGTCAGCACCAAACTCACACATGCCATGCTCCTTAGCTTCTCATCCCATGATTCTTGGCTGCATTGCCAGAAGGAGGAACATGCTCGGCTGAAGCATGCTGCCTTCCCACAGTGCTGGAGAGGGTCTGTCTCCTGCTCTGCAAAGAGGCCTCACACATGTCAGAAGGCAAAGCCGGGTGGTAACCAGCCTCCTGTTCCACATAATCTCTCTGTCTCAAGTTGGCTTAGTAGAATCACTTATGAGCATGGAAACTTTCCTAGGAAGGTTTTCTGATCTCTTCTCTGAGTTTCCAGAAAAGGCTAAGCAGATGGCCCATCTTTATCAGGCGTAGGCAACTTTGATGGGTCCAGAGGTCCACTTTCCCCTCATCCCTGCTCCCAGGGCTGCACTCCTTGGAAACAAACTAAGTTTGTCTTTCTAAAGCTTTAATAGTAACTTGCTGCTGAAATCACTATTTCCACTTTTTGCCACTATTGGGCCACCAAATTTTGGCAGCAGCAGGGGCCACACTAGAAAATGGGGAGCTGCATTTTCAGTATGCCTGGGGGGTGTATTGCCCAACTCAGGCCAATAGGATATTTTGTCAGGGCAGGGCACTGAGCTAGACTGGCATCTGTTGTGCCTCTACCACCTCAGTGATCTCTAAGCTCACCTAATAATGCTTCTGGTGTTCCAGGGATCTTCAAACCTCCATCCATCTGCGTCGCTGCCCCGGAAACCCACTGTGCCCTGGTTGCGCTACTCTGAGGAGACCACTGCAGTGCAGAGTGGCCTGTATGCCGTGGCGCCACTGGAAGAGGTAGTGAGAGATTCTCCTGAGAAAATCAACCATACCACTCACTGATGGCACATGGGTTTTGTTTATTTATTTCATTTGTATCCCACCCAGTAGCTGAGGCTGGTGTTAGCTTCACTCTGTGCCTCGCAGGGTGCCCCATGTCCTTGTCCCTCCTTGTGCTTTCTCGCTAACATGTAGTTGGAAGAAAGAAACATGGTGTGATCCCACGGTAGCATTTCTTTGGCTGCCAGCGTGCAGCAGCAGTTAACAAAGCAGAGTGCATAGACCTTCAGCCCTTTTCTTGTAGGCAGGGTCCTCTAATTCACTCTCCACCTCTGTAAACAATGTTGGACTTAAATGAGGCCTCACAGTCCACTGTTAGCACCAGGAAAGGAAACTGAAGAATGCCATGGGGTACTATGGAGGAGGAAGAGCTGGATGGTAAGAGGGCTTGTGCTGCTACTCAGCACATGGAAATTCTGTTAGATGCTGGGACTGTTGAAGCTCAAAGATGGTGAAGTCTAGAAATCAGCAGGGAGCATTTTTATGATCAACCTTTTTTCCAACCATAGTCACTCTGGACCAAACACAGCGAATATGCCTCCAGGGAAAAATATTTGATTTTAAGGGGTGGTGGCAAGATTTCAATTCCCAAAGTCTGTTCCACAGTCTTACCTTAGGACCTTACCTTAGGAGGTCCTTACATTTTGCAAGGAAAGAACAGGGTTCCCTCATGGTGGTGGAGAAATTTAAGGGGAGAATTGGCTGGACAGAGAGTATTCTTGCTCACTCTGCATGTCCCTGCCCTGCCATTTCTGAAAGTGTCTTCCCTCTACTGAGGGGCAAATTTCAGGGGCAAATGGAAGTGTTAAAATTGGCAGAGCATCCAAAATGCAATCACTACATAGGAAGAGATGTATGCATTTCAGCAAGTGTCCATGATGCTCAGGGCAAGCAGTCATCTTCACAGCAAAATACCTGAAATAGTTCTACTTGCTAGGACAAGAGTGGCAGTTAGCTATAAACCTGGATTATCCTATAAACCATACCATTTTGGAAAACTGAATTTGCATCCATGTATATAACTGAGACACTTCAGGAACACTTTACAAGCAAGGGCACATGACCCCTGAAGTAGCCACTAGTCACATTCCTCCTGCTTCTGCCGAACTTCCTTTTGGTGAATCCCAATCTTTTCTTCCAGCTGACAAGAGAGGGGAAAAATTCTGTAATGAAGGAGTAAGTGCATCTGGTCGTCTGTCTGCCTGTCAGTGTTGTAGCCTCAAGACAACAAAACTTAAAACTTCTGGAACTTGGCATGTTTTTGAAGCCTGCACTACTATTGCCGGTCATTAGGTGGCAGACTTCCCTAAGCGGCACATGGCTTTGAAGTTCAGTTTGTTGCTAAAAGATTAGGCAGGGGTAGAGTTATATGAGTATGCCTCACCCTCCTCAGAGGCCTGCAGAGCAGTGTCCAGGGATGCCCATGGGCTTGGCTTCATCAGATAGGATAGTACAATGTGTCCAATGCTAACAGCTGCTTAAGATGACTTGAAGGATTCACTCTATCAAACTAAAAGCTATTTCTAGCTTGTGAAGCCAGGTTGGTCTCTTAGTAGTATTAATGGGGATAATGAAAATAATTGTGGTTGTTGTTGTTAGTTGCAAAGTCATGTCCAACCCATCATGACCCCATGGACAACATTCCTCCAGGCCTTCCTGTCCTCCACCATCCCCCAGAGTCCACTCAAACTCACACCAACTGCTTCAGTGACTCCATCTAGCCACCTCATTCTCTGCCGTCCCCTTCTTCTTTTGCCATCTATTGTTCCCAGCATTAGACTCTTCTCCAGGGAGTCCTTCCTTCTCATTAGGTGGCCAAAGTATTTGAGTTTCATCTTCAATATCTGGCCTTCTAAAGAGCAGTCAGGGTTGACTGCCCCTAGGACTGACTGGTTCGATCGTCTTTCAGTCCAAGGGACTCTCAGGAGTCTTCTCGAGCACCACAATTCAAAGGCCTCAGTTCTTTGGCACTCAGCCTTCCTTATGGACCAGCTTTCACAGCCATACATTGCAACTGGGAAAACCACAGCCTTGACTATATGCACTTTTGTTGGCAGGGTGATGTCTCTGCTTTTTAGTATGCTATCTAGATTTGCCATAGCTTTCCTCCCAAGAAACAAGCGTCTTTTAATTTCTTGTCTGCAGTCCCCATCTGCAGTGATCTTGGAGCCCAGGAAAATAAAATCTGTCACTACCTCCATTTCTTCCCTATCTATTTGCCAGGAAGTGGGAGGACTGGATGCCATGATCTTAGTTTTCTTAATGTTGAGTTTCAAGTCAACTTTTGCACTCTCCCGCTTCACCCGCATCAAGAGGCTCTTTAGTTCCTGTTCACTTTCTGCCATTAGGGTGGTATCATCTGCATATCTGAGGTTGTTAATATTTCTCCCAGAAGTCTTAATTCCAACTTCTGATTCATCTAATCCTGTTTTTCTCATGATGTGCTCTGCATATAAATTAAATTGGCAGGGTGACCATATACAGCTTTGCCAAACTCTTTCTCAATCTTGAACCAATCAGTTCTCACTGTTGCTGCTTTTTGACCCTCATACAGGTTTCCCAAGAGACAAATAAGATGGTCTGGTACTCCCATCTTTTTAAGAACTTGCCACAATTTGTTGTGATCCACACAATTAAAGGCTTTCGCATAGTCAATGAAGCAGAAGTAGATTTTTTTTGGAACTCCCTAGCTTTCTCCATGATTCAGCATATGTTGGCAGTTTGATCTCTAGTTCCTCTGCCTCTTCAAAACCCTGCCTGTACTACTGGTAGTTCTTGGTCCACATGCTGCTGGAGCCTAGCTTGTAGGATTTCAAGCATAACTTTGCTAACATGTGAAATGAGTGCAATGGTGCGGTAGTTTGAACATTCTTTGGCATTGCCCTTCTTTGGGATGGGAATGTAAACTGGCCTTTTCCAATCCTGTGGTCACTGTTGAGTTTTCCAAATTTGCTGGCATATTGAGTGTAGCACTTTAACTGCATCATCTTTTAGGATTTTGAATAGCTCAGCTGGAATACGATCTCCTCCACTAGCTTTGTTGTTGCTCAGAATTCCTAAGGCCCATTTGACTTCACATTCCAGGATGTCTTGCTCGAGATCAGTGACCACCCCTGGTTATCAGGGACGTTAAGCTCTTTCTTTTATAGTTCTTCTGTGTAATCTTGCCACTTCTTCTTAATTTCCTCTGCCTCTGTTAGGTCCCTGTCATTTTTGTCCTTTATCATGCCCATCTTTGCATGAAACGTTCCCTTCATATCTCCAATTTTCTTGAAGAGATCTCTGATCCTCCCTATTCTATTGTTTTCTTCTATTTCTTTGCACTGTTCATTTAAGAAGGCCTTATCTCTTCTAGCTATTCTTTGGAATTCTGCATTCAGTTGGGTTTCTTTCTCTTTCTCCCTTGCCTTTCACTTTCCTTCTTTGCTCCACTATTTGTAAAGCTTCCTCAGACAGCCGTTTTGCTTTCTTGCCTTTCTTTTTCTTTGGGATGGTTTTAGTTGTTACCTCTTGTACAATGTTGTGAACCTCCGTCCATAGTTCTTCAGGCACTCTGTCTATCAGATCTAATTCCTTAAATCTATTTGTCACCTCTACTGTATATTCATCAGGAATATGATTTAGGTCATACCTGAGTGGCCTAGTTCTTTCCCCTACTTTCTTCAATTTAAGCCTAAATTTTGCAACAAAAAGCTCATGATCTGAGCCACAAGTCAGCGCCTGGTCTTGTTTTTACTGACTGGATAGAGCTTCTCCATCTTTGACTGCAGAGCACATAGTCAATCTGATTTCTGTGTTGACCATCTGGTGAGGTCCATGTGTAGAATCGTCTCTTGGGTTGTTGGAAAATAGTGTTTGCTATGACCATCATGTTCTCTTGGCAAAATTCTGCCAGCCTTTGCCCTACTTAATTTTGTACGCCAAGGCCAAAGTTGCCTGTTATTCTGGTTACCTTTTGGCTTCCTACATTAGTATTCCAATCCCCTATGATGATAAGGACATCATTTTTGGGTGTTTTCTAGAAGGTGTTGTAGGCCTTCATAGAACTGGTCAACTTCAGCCTCTTCAGCATCAGTGGTTGGGGCATAGATTTGGACTACTGTGATGTTGAATGGTTTGTCTTGGATTTGAACTGAGATCATTCTGTCATTTTGGAGATTGTATCCCAGTCCTGCTTTTCTTACTCTTTTCTTGACTATGAAGGCTACTCCATCTCTTCTGAGGGATTCTTGCCCGCAGTACTATACCTGATGGTCATCTGAATTAAATTCACCCATTCCTGTCCATTTTAGTTCACTGATTCCTAAAATGTTGCTGTTCAGTCTTGTCATCTCATGTTTGACCATGTCCAGCTTGCCTTGATTCATAGATCTTACATTCCAGGTTCCTATGGAGTATAGATCTTTGCAGCATCGGACTTTCCTTTCACCACCAGATACATCTGCAACTGAGTGTCCTTTTGGCTTTGACTCAGTCACTTCATTCCTTCTGGCGCTACTAGTACTAGCCCTCTGCTCTTCCCCAGTAGCATATTGGACACCTTCTGACCTGAGAGGCTCATCTTCCGCCATCATATCTTTTTGCCTTTTGGTACTGTCCATGGGGTTTTCATGGCAAAGATACTGGAGTGGGTTGCCATTTCCTTCTCCAGTGGATCAGCTTTTGTCAGAGCTCTCTGCTGTGACCTGTCTGTCTTGGGTGGCCTTGCATGGCATAGCTCATAGCTTCATTGAGCTACACAAGCCCCTTTGCCACAACAAGGCAGTGATCCATGAAGGGGAGTAAACATAATAATAAGCCTCAATACAGACAAAAATTGGTGGTCACTGTTCTGACTCACTGCGGAAAATCCACCCAAAATTGTCTTCAGGCAGTTCTTATAACCAGCCTCGTTAGTATTCCCATTATGCACAGTGGGGCTGAGACGGAGTGGGACTCTAGATGACAGATGCAAGGTCTGAGCGAGTCTTCAACCTGATCTTGTGGCAATTATGCCAAACAGCATCCCCAGTTTTTAAAATGGGTGCAGCTCAATGCAAAATCTCCCACCAATTTATTCCAGTGGCACAGTGGAGGCTCTCTGATACAGAACTGATGACCTCTTGCCACTGCCAATTGCTTTGACTGAATAGGGCACACTCAGTTCTGGGGTCTGTAGGCGCATCTATCATAGTGTCTACAATTGTTGTTCCTGTTGCCTATCTATTGTTGCCTACAATTCCCATCTTCCCTTATCTCTGTCCATGCTGGCTGGGGCTGATGACAATATCTATAGGGCCATGCATTCTCAATCTCTGCTGTAAGACTTTCTGGAGGCAACAGAGTCGTCCCTCTGTTGGAACACAACAGGTCTCAATCATCCATCTTCCAGCATTTCTCCTTTGTGGCTCCCCATCTTGAGACTTGGGTAGTGTTCTGCCTCTAAGCATCTTGCCTGGCTATGACCCCCTTTTTTCTACTGCTTCAGCTCCTGTGAAGGGCAAACCAGTAGGGGGATTCTAGTGCCACGTGACCCTAGCTATCTAACAGCTGCTGATGTTGCTTACACCACAGTACGTGAGGCAGATGGAAGAGCTGCAGGCTGAGCTGACCCGAAGCAGGGAGAAGCAGCAACTCTTGGAGGAACAGCTGGAGAGACAGAATATCCAGAATCAAATACTCTTGGAGGAGCAGACAAAGTTTCAGGAGCGGGAAACCACTCTCTGCAAGAAGCTGGAGGAGATGGAAAACTGCCTTGTACAGCTAAATAACAGGTAAGAGAGCTCAGGAGCCCCTGCAGAATGGCCTTAGCTGGCCCCTACTGCCTTTACACATTGCCAGGGGCCAGCCAAGGCCTGCTTGGAGCCTTTCAGCCCATCCATAATCTGTTGTCAGGTCACCAGGCACTGCCTCGACCCAGCTCTTCTGCTGAGAGCAAAGGCAGAGAATATCTCCTGAAAGGGGAAGTGGCACACCATGCACAGCACCCTGAGTCCCAGTGTCCCACAGGGAGCTGCTGAGGTACAAACAGCTTGTGTCCAAGTGGGGTTCGTGAGAGGACGCCACTCCAAAGAGTGGGTGCTGGACTTCTCCAATCTGATCTTCCTACTCGAGAGTGCAAATAGTTCCACTTCCCAGTGCAAGTTCCTGGTCTGGGCATTGTTGTACTGCTGGAGTTTTCACCGGGTCTGGATAGAAGGGAGGCCAGGCTGAAGGTGAATAGGTGAAACAAGAGATGAGGAAGGAAAAAAGAGAGTGAGGGGAAAGCAGCAAGGCCAACTCTGCAATGGAATAGAAAAGAAGCTGACATATATAGGTCATCTCATAGGCCAAGAATGAAGAACCTCCCGTCACAGGCAAATTGGACATCTCAGGCTGGTATATCTGACCTTTTTATTCACCCAATATTTTAATGTTTAATAGATTTTAATTATTTTTATTCCAGTTGTGGGTTATTTAGTTTTATATTGTTTGGGGTATTGATGCTATTTATATTGTATTTATGATATCTATATTGCATTTATTGAATTTGTTGTAAACCATCCAGAGACACAGAGTGATTGGACGGGTTAGAAATATCCCAAATAAATAAACAAATTAAATAAATAGACTCTGATCAGCAGGGACTCTGCCTTAACATGGCATCTGCCCTCTCAGTTGAAAAGAAGTGCAGGACACTTGCCCCTTCCATACCTTCCCTGGCCGCAGAATGTCTAGGCAAACGTATTTACTACTAGGCAAATGTATTAGGCAAATGTATTTACAAACTACTAGGCAAACTACTAGGCAAACGTATTTACAAAAATGCATGCATGATTGTTCATGCAAACTTTTTAAAAAGCCTCAAACTGATGCAGAAATGAGATGAAATGCACTTAAAATGAGAAAAGCAAGAGAAAGGGGACAAGAGATTTATCAGTCCCTAGATATCTTGCCAAGATGTACACTGAGCTGCTCGCCACAAGTCTGAAGGGCAGAGCCCCAGAAGTAGGAATATTCAAGTAGGAGCAGGGCAGGCAAGGAGGCACCCCTATCAGGCAGTGTCGCATCTTTGAGCGTGGAAAGGGCTTTTCATTCCTTTACTGGGTCCATTTTAATCCTGTTGAGGTCTTGTAGGTAGCTGTTGAAACAAGACTATGTCCACATCTCTAAGGTAGTCCATTCCTGGAGTGGGTGGGAGAACAGTGTGGCCATCTTGGACACCCTGTTCTGGCGATGCCAAAAGAGCCCATGGAAGTGGCAGTGGCATTTCAGTTCCTTCCTCATGTCTACCACCCACCCTCCATGCCTGCTCAGTCTCTTCAGATAATCTGAAAATACTCTCAGAGCCAGAAATCTATTGTGCTGGTGGGGTCTCCAAAGAGCTGGACAGGTACAAATGTCAAGCTTTGAGGAGGGATTTTTTAAAGCAAGGCATCATGGGTGAAAGGATCTGATTGCCTGTGCTGTCATGGCACAATCTCCAGAGACGCCTCACTCAGAATGCCTCACCTTAGGAACAGACCCATTGAGGCCTGGCATGGGGTGGGAGGAAGGCAGTAGGAAGATGAGGAGGAGTATGGTGGCTAGCTGGAGAAGAGGAGGCAGTCAGAGCAAAGTGAGGTGATAGTCATGATTAAGGGAGAGAGAAGAGAGGGACACAAGCAAGGGAAGGTGGCAGGAGAGAAGCCAGGATGACCACTGGGGCACCAAAGCACCATCTTGTCTAGCATACCAAAATACCAGACCTGAACTCAGGCTCCTCTTCTGTTGCAGGATATCAGGTGTGGAAGCTAGCTGGAAGAAGGATCATCAGAAGCTGCGGATCAGTGAGGAAAAGACCAAAAACATGGTAAAGGCCTCTAGAACCGTTCTGGTCTTTGAGGCACCCATGAGAAAAAGAACCAAGGGATGGCATGAGGGAATGAACTCACTCCAGCCCCCCCGCCCCCACTCACCTGCTTGCTCGCGCACGCGCATGCACTCATGTGTTCTTCATGGTGATGTAGATCACTGGACGAACTGAGGAATGGCAACTTGTCCACTTGTTTCGCTGGAGAAGCTAATATGCTTCGTTACAGGCTGGGCATGTGATGGCTAGACAAATGCTTCGTGGGATGTTCAGTGCTCCCCACTTGCACAGTGCTTGATTTTCACAGATGGAGGGACTGGGCTTAAGTAGTTGCCTCTCTGGTCTGTATCTTGCAGGAGTGCCGCCTGTCCAGGATGGAGGAGGGCCACGATCAGCTGTTCCATGCTGTCAGCCAAATGCTGGGATATCGAGGAAAAACATCCAATTCACTGCAGCAACAGCTCTCAGGGCCCATGTGGGTGAGCAGGGCTGAGAATGGCCATGAAACCTAGCTTAGGTTCCTTTGCATCCCAGAATGCAAAGCCAGCGCATCCATTGCAGACCCTGCATACAACCCTCCTCTTGGAGAAATGCTCTTCATGGACAAAAGAGTCGCAAGTGTCTTGCAAGCCTCAGATGAAACCAAAATGCCCCTCTGTTGATCAACCCTACTCCCTGGGGGTGGGGAGGGAAAGATAGGACTAGTGTGCACTGGTGGGTCCTCTGGCTGACAGCTACACCACGAGTTTTGCCATGCAACCTTCCCCTGCCTTTCTGCCTTGCACCTGTTTTATTCCTACTACTTACTGTTCAGCACCACCCAGCTGCTGCTGCTGCTGCTTCCACCCCATTGTGGCCTGAGATCACATCCCCTCACTCCCCAGTGAGTCGGGGTATATCATTGGTGTAATTTATGAAGCAAAGGGAGAATAGGAGAAGGATGCTGAATTCTCCCACATCTTCCATTTACTTCTCTGTCTTCTCCTGCCCAAGTGCCTTTTTCGCAGCTCAACCCAGTTCCTACACTGCAGTGTGGTGGAGGGAGGGGAATTACTCTGGGGGATGCACTGCAGGGAGATCAGCTGCGGGCACTTAAAAGTGCCACATTTCATTCTTGAAGCCCTTTTATTCTTTAGCTCAGAGCCCTCCTCTAATGGCTACTGATTCAAGATGGAGGCAGATCAATAAATAAATACCCAAGTCTGCAGTCATTTGAGACTGAGAAGTATTCCAGCCGTATTGGATCCTCCTACTCCTCCTCACCAAGAAAAATGCATGGTAGTACCAAGCTGAGAGGTGGCTCAGATTTACTTCCTGTGTAAACCTGATTCGGATTTCTTTGTTCTTAGATTTACTTTCAGAGCCTGCCTTTTTTCAGTAGGTACCAGGCCAGTGAGAGGAAGCTATGGGGGCAGTTGGGTTACAAATAAGCAGTATTCAGAGGCCCATGCACTCAACAGGCAGAACTCCTGCCTGTTTTCCACCAACAAATCAGCTGTTACTTTCTAGCCCTAAGTTCTGGTCATAGATGTAGATGGACTTAGAAGACCCAAGTTCAAAGTTCCACCTGTGCCATGGATGGCTTTCCACTTGATCCAGTGTAAGCTTACACAGATATTAAGTCCCACTGAACTGGATGGAGCTCACTCCCAAATATTTCTGCTGAAAATCCTGCACAAGCTGTCCTGACTGCAGAGCAGTTTCAGAGGGGGGCGTAGAGGAGTTTGTGGAACAAAACAACAATAAGATCAAACCTCAGTGGAGAAAGCATAGACTTCATTTTTATACTAGGGGTTCTTTAGCACTGCTTTCCTGAGACTAGTAAAATTGGAACTGGAAATCTAAATTCTAGATTAGCACACCGCCACTTAAGGCAGTACTGTATTCCCCATGACAATTCAGCAGTATTCATCCCCGTAACAAGGCTAAAGTGGTGGCACATTCACTGTAGGACTGCAGCCTTCCAAGGAGATTCTACTCAGAAGTAAGTCCCATTAGATCAAGGGAACTCATTCTCTGGAAAGTGTGCACAGGGAAAGTTGCTGCCTTCACTCAAGTCTTTGGTATGATTCCTGTTGATCCTGGCCATTGAAACCAGCCCTTTTCCTGAACTAATGTTGACTTTTTAACTGCTGTTTTCCTCTATAGCCATACCAGTCACACTGCCTGCAGTGATTGTTTTTTATGTTATGTTTTCTTAGTGTTTTAGCAAAAAATAAAAATAAAAATACCAGCTCCATTCCTAGCCTTCTTTGGATTTGTGGGTTAGAGAGAAGCATTAAATATGTTGTTCTTTTATTTTGAATCCCCTCACAATACCCTCACTCTGGTAATAAAACCACAGTGACCCTGCTTTACAGAATAAGCTCATAGGCTGATTTCCACGGACAACACAGTAAGTGGTCTTTGTTTTGCTTGATCCTAAAGCTGGTATGGGGGTCTACTGTAGTGCTCCCACTCAACAAATTGGGGATTGCATCTTAGTAATGGGGTTTGATGCAAAATTTGCGGTCTTTATAAGTTTTGAAATGAAACTGTTCCAACACCACTTTTCTATCACTAGGGGCAGGTCATTTCTCACCAAACTGTTACTCGGTATTGTTTTCCTTAAAATGTGTGCTCATTCACTTTGCCTATGAAATAGGATGGACTGTACCTAGAGCAGTCACCAAGGATATAGAAACTGAGTGAGTCAGAAGGGGTCTCCTGGGCCATCTAGTCTGACCTCCAGCTCCACCTGGCTCCGCTCATGACATGCCTACCATGTGCATGTCCAGCCTATCCCTGCACACCCTCACTGATGGGGCTTCAGCCACCTGCCATGGAAGCCCATTCCATACCCTTGGGTCCTAACTGTCAGGAAGTATTTCCTGGGGATCCAGTACAACAGAAATAATCAGAATCCATAGATAGCAGGGTGGCAGGGCAGATGACCTCCCAGAGATTTAGGGCTTTCAAATGAAAGATTGGAGGCTCCAGTTCTAGTAGGCTGCCCTCTAACACTGCCCCTGCTGCTTTCACTGTCAGGGATCTGGCAAAGAAACTCAGGGAATCTGTGCACATTCACCAAGGGCTCAGTGCAACCCCAATCAAGGCCTTGGTGACATACAGACCCTACACTTAATTATAGAACAGTGGAGTTGGAAGGGACCCTATGAGTTTTCAGAGTATATTTAATACTGGTTTTCCTAAAATTCAGATTAAACATTTGGCTATGCTCAGTTTTTGCCTCCTTTAGAACAGGGGTCCCCAGCTATGGACTGGTACTGGAACTGGGCCACACAGCAGGACTCTAACTTTGCATGATTCACAGTTTGAATGTTAGAGTCAAGATAAGATCACTCCACAGTTTGAAAGATGCCTCTAAATTCAGACTGTGAGTCAAGTGAAAAAATGTGGTCACAGCAAAAATGTCATCAGTTGTGCTCCCAAGCTGAAAAAAATATATTACAGTAAAAGACACATTGCCTCAATGTCCTGAATCAATTTGTCTTGAATCGATTTGTCTTGTCTTGAATCTATTCAGCCTGAATCATTATTTTGCCTCTGTGTACTCCCCAAAGCAGGACAGGGGGAGCTACATGGGGAACTGGATGAGGCTGAGGATTTAGGGGCACTGATTAGAGTCATTCCCCTAGAAGCTGAGGAGATCCTCAGGGCACGGAACATTACAAAGGTGCTGGGCCTTGAGGGGTTACACCCAACAGTACCTCAGGAGTTGGCAGGGATACTCTCATGCCCATTGGCCTCCATTTTTGAGACCTCATGGAGAACAGCTGAGGTTCCAGAGGACTGGAGGGTGGTGTCAGTTGTCACAGTTTTTAAAAAGGGGAGTAGAGGGGACATGGGGAATTATAGGCTGATTAGCCTTATGTCCATTCTAGGAAAGTCGATGGAAAGGCTCATAATAGCAAGAGCTCTAGTAACCCTAGATAGGGAAGGACGGTTGTTGGCTTACCAGTTACCCAGAGTCCCCATAACTGCCACTTCATCCCTGCCAGGTGATCCCTGTTGCTTAGGATCAAGTGAAGGAAAGCCAATCTTCTACTTCCTTCTACTTTCTGTACGAGTACGTTTTCAGCCACACAAGTCAAGAATTTTGGGGTCAGGGTATGTTTGGCAGAGTTTGTCTCCAAACTACTACTGGGGAAACTAAAGTCACTCATTATTACTACATCATGCCACCTCTAAACACTGACAATTTGCTTTTCAAAAGTTTCATCCTCATATTCTCCTTGTGCATGCACACAAACTTATGTGGATTTTGTTAGCTGTAAATATATGTGAGATTAGGTCCTACTTCTGCATTTATTCCTTGCTTCCATCTCACTGCTTCTTCTGGATGTCTTACTTGACCAAGGGCTGAAACTGAGTTTGACTCAGTCCCCGTACTGCCAGATAGGGCAGAGATTGATGTCTCATAAGAACTCTGCATTGTCAACCACAAAATGTTAAGTTGTGTAAACAAGCCCTGCATACCACATGGGAACATTTCTGTAGCTGCCTACATTATCAACTAGCAGAATGAAAAGAAGCACTAAAATAAGAAGTGCTCCTTTCTCCTTTCTTTATTTTCGCAGGTACTCAACATGAAATAGGATGAAGTCATCCTTTGTTTTTTCTCAGTGTTGCTGGGAACCTATCCAAGAAACAAAGCTTGGCATCTAACCTGATGTGACTATGCTACTATGTCACGGCTTGACTTCTCCAGGGGTTCTTATGGATGGCTCCCAGCACTCCCAGTCCACAGGTCTTTTACAGTGATGCTATCTTTCCCTTCTTAACAGATGTTCTAGGGAAAGGAAAAAGCTGTAAGAAGTGGAAGGATTATGAGAAGATTGTGACTGGAAGCAGATGTCTAGACCTGTAAAATTTCATGAATAATGCAGGCTGATGACACAATGAACTTTTCTATATAAGACTGTTAACCCACTGTATCTACTTTTGATTTCATTGTAGACCTGAATGAAGAGCACTTCCTTTCCTGCTTTTTCACTACATAACTTTTATTTTATTGGCTAAGTTTTAATTATTGAAGCCTAAGGATGTTGACAAGATGCTTGGACAAGTCAGTCCTACTGCCTGCTTACTTGACCCTTGCCCAGGTCGGCAGGTCATTCAAGCCAAAGAAGGAATGTGTGTCTGGATCCAAGAGATTGTGAACCCCCTTCTGAAAGGAGGGCTGGTCCCACCCCTGTTAAAAGAGGCAGTGATTATACCTCTTCTGAAGAAGGCAAACCTGGATTCAGAATACGCTAACAACTTTAGACCAGTGACCAATATTCCATTTTTCAGTAAAGTGCTTGAGTGTGTGGTGGTTGGACAACTCCAGGCACTCTTGAAAGAAACCAAGTATCTGGACCCATTTCAAACAGGTTTTGGGTCTGGTTTTGGAACAGAAACCACCCTGGTCACCCTGTGGGATGACCTTTGCTGGAGGAAGATGGGGGAGTGTGTCCCTGTTGGTTCTTCTGGACCTTTAGCAGCATTCTATACCATTGACCATGGTATCCTTCTGGATAGGTCCCTGGGGAGCAGGTGCCCCCCCAATTTAAATTTTTATTTTGCCCTTGTGTGTGTGGGTGGATGGGTTTTGCCTGGGAGAAAAGGGTGAGTGAAGGGTACTGCAGGACAGAGAAGGCAGGGGAAGAAGGTAGGGTCTCTGAGGGGCTCTCAATGTCAGGCCAGGAGATGACCTTGGCGGGAATCACAGGAGTCGCTGTCTGCTGTGACAGCTGCAACATGTTTACCCTTCTCCCCCAGGAGAGGAAGGGATACACTTGCCCTCGGTACAAGCTGGTCACCCTTCTAGAGGAGGTGAGCTGCCTGAGAGCTGAGAGAGCTCTCCAGGCCCCCCAGGAGCACTGCCTCTCCAGACAGAGGATTGCAGGAGGGGCCGCAGGAGGAACAGCTGGGGAGACATGGCGGCATGTCACCCACAGGAGGAGGAGACCAGCACTGCCTCCTCCTCCTCCTGGCGCCGATCTGGAGCCGGAAAACAGGTTCTCTCCATTTGGGGAGGCTGGGGCTGACAAGGCCTTGGGGGACCAACAGGACCCCCAGCCTGGGACCACATGCAGCCAAGAGTCTGCTGCAGGAGAGGCAAGGGTCAGGGGAAGGCCACCTACCACCACCGGGAAGAGATGGCGGCGGGTGATTGTCGTCGGGGACTCCTTGCTGAAGGGCACTGAGGTGGCAGTGTGCCACCCCAATCTTGAGGCAAGGGAAGTCTGTTGTCTGCTGGGTGCATGCATCCAGCATATGAAGGATAGAGTGGAGCATCTTGTTCGCTCCAGGGGTCACCAGTCGCTTCTGCTGATCCATGTGGGCAAAAATGACATAGCCAGGCAGGGCATCGGCGGGATCACCAGGGATTTCGAGGCCTTGGGGAAGAAACTCAGGGCCCTTAAGGCCCAAGTGACCTTCTCATCTATCTTACCAGTCTGGGGATTTGGGCCAGGCAGGGATAGGAGGATCGCCAAGGTGAACAACTGGCTTAGGGTGTGGTGCCAGAAGGAACGCTTTGGGTTCCTCAACCACAGCACCCGGTTTCTTGCCAATTGACTTCTAGCAAGGAACAGGTTGCACCTCACGAGGATGGGAAAAAGGTCCTTTGGACATGCTCTAGCAAGCTTTGTCTGGAAGACTTTAAACTGAGCTGGGGAGGCGGGGGGAGGGGGGGAGGTTCAGGCCTCCCAGAAACTTGTCTGCACTGGACAAGTGTGGGGAGAGGATCAGGGCTCTGGGACCAGGGTCTCAGATGTTCTTCAGGGACTGACAGGACTCCTACAAAGAGAGGGCCGATATCAGGGAAGATGGGAGGAAGTAGGGGGCTGGGGATTCCAAGAAAGGAAGCTGTGGGAAGGAGTTGAGGTGCATGTACACCAATGCTAGGAGCCTGGGTAATAAGCAGGAAGAACTTGAAGCTCTCCTGGGAATAGGAGGGTATGACCTTGTGGGGACCACAGAAACTTGGTGGGATGAAAGGCAAGATTGGAATGTAAACATAGAGGGGTATCACATGTTTAGAAAGGAAAGGAAGGGAAAGAGGGGTGAGGGTGTAGCTTTATATGGCAGGGAAAGGATAGGATGCAGTGAGATAGAATGCAGCGCAGATGGGGATTCAGTAGAGGCAGTCTGGGTGAAACTAAGGGGTCTTGACAGGGAGAAGGACCTGACAGTGGCGGCAAGTTATCGCCCTCCAGGTCAACTTGAGACCCTGGATTATGTCCTGACAGA